GACTCAAGAAGATTCAGCAAACAGCTTAAAGTCACACAGCTACTAAGTGGTAGAGATGAAATTCAAGTCCAGGTCTTTAGACTTTAAAGGCTCTGCTCTTTTCATTATATTACACTGCCTCACAACTAGGCAAAACATCTGTTTAAACTATTCATTTTTATTATAATATTTTCCCTTTGAACAAGTCAGAACATTTTAGGAATGGAAGGGTAACTCCTCAAATTTTCTACTTTCTTTTGTGTTTCCTAGCAAGTGGCTTAGAAAAAAAAAAGTTTTAGATCTATCTCCTCTTCCACAAATGAGCCAGACTATTCTATTTTTAGTAAATGATTTATAGCTAGTCACTGGTTGTGGTTCTAGTTACACTCCTGGCTGTTTTCTACATGCTTTCTGCTTCAAATTATGTAATAGATCATGTTTACTTATTTTAGCTCTATGTTACTGTGTGGCTAGTTCTTTTTTAAAGGTATAGAATTCTTTGTATTTAGTCTTCAAAGTTCTGGTGATGACATTTACGTTGTCGTCCATATGAATAGCCCCCCAGAGTCCTGCAGTCCAGGCCTGTGTGCAGCAGCTTGGTTAAAATCTAACACCAAGGGGAATGTACAGTGGGTGAGGGGATAATATTTGATTCCTCCCAGACTCCATATGTGGTCTGGTTTCTCCTGTAGTTATATCTTATTTGGGTGGTACCTAAAAAAGAGATCAAGTTCAGGGTCAACTGCTCATTTACCTTTGCTGTGAAATTTGATTGGTATGCCCTACTCTAGCAGGGGTCTAAATTTAGAATAAGCTTTGGGGGCTTCCTTGATTGGGACAGAACTGAATCTCTGAGTTGTCTATAGCAGTATAGATTCCTGGGATTAATGCTGACCATTCTGAGGGGATGCTTCAAATTTCTTAACCTACGAATGCACCAGGGATGGGACCAAGTCACCTAGATCTACCTTCAAGTTTCAGGTTTAGTTAAAATTTGAGAAAGTTCCTTAGTTATAGAAGAGAAGCATTTCAGGATGAGTCGGGCTTATCCAAATCTTCTACAAAATTTAGGGAAAATGTAGTTTAATTGGATTTCAAATTAACTGCTTGAATTGGTGTTCTGTATTTTTGATCCTGATGGAGATTTCTCTTAATTTCTCGCTGGCAATCAGCTGCAAATCTCTAATAGATTGTAAAAATCAGTCTCTTTAACAATTTTGCAACTGTGTAAAGGTTTAGTCTTGCTCTCCCAACATTTCCCTTCTTTCTTTCCCAAAAGAAAAAATGAGAATCTCGTTTTTTTCACCCATTCCCTGTCCAACTCATATCTTCAGCTCCAGGGCCAAGCCAATCATGGTGGCCCTATTTCCCTTGCAATGATAAGTCTAGATATGGACATATGATATGCTTTTGGCCAATGAGCCATGTGGAAAAGTCTACTTGGGACTTCTGAGAAATGTTCCTTCATTCTTATAAAGAGTGGAAAAAAGAGAAAGTCTTCTTCTGGACATTGTCATATTTGAATGTGATGCCTGGAACTGCAGCAGCCATTTTGTGACCTCAAGGGGACCTGACCTTCATGTCAAGCCCACCAACTCAAGATGGCAGAATAGAAAGAAGAAAAGGATCCAGGTACTTGATTATGAAGTTATGAAGCTACTCAATTAACCAACCCTGGAGCAGCCCTACCAGTGGATTTCTTGTTAATATAATAATATAATAATAAATAATAAATTTAAACCAGCTGAATCACTTTTTCTGTTAGGGTGCTCTCAATTGCAGATAACAGAAAATCTGACTCAGCTGGCTTAAATTATCTCAGTTGAGAGCACTCAAGTGATACAACATTACAAGTCATATTTTGAGGTCTCTCGGAGCTTCTGCCTCGATCCCTGCCTGTAGGCATTCCTCTCTTCCAATTAGTTGATCCTTCATACTGTCATTGGAATGACCTATTCACAATTCAAGTCTGTTCATATTACAACTCTGATTAATCTTACAAAGGCTACTTTTTGCTTTCTTGATGTGGTGCACAGACCTTTCTTCACGGGGTCCAGCCTGGATCTCTCTGGCCGCATGTCCCATCAGGTCAGGCCCCACAGACACCCTAATACTAGATAATAGACATAACTATCGTCATTCCTTGACTATGCTATGTTCTCTCACCCCTCCGCTTTACAAATGCTATTCCCAATTTCCTAGAACACCCTTCCCTGCCTGATGTGTCATCCCCTAACTCAGCCATCAAGACTCAGACTCTTTTGGTGAATCTTTCCTAATTCTGCCCCCCCCCCCCCGACTAAGTCTCCCAAGGTCATCAGATGTTCTTCTTCAGTGCCCTGACACATTGCCTGGAACCCCTATTAAAGCACATATGACACTGTGCTGTAATTGTCAGATTAATTGTCTCCTACATGTGATTGTAAAGTCTTTGAGGGAAAGTTGTGTCTTATTCATCTTAACATCTCCAATGCCTACCACATTACTTGGCACAAAATAAGCAAGTGATAAATGTTTATTAATGAATAAAGATAAGGCTATAACCCAGATTTGGGTTCATGACGACAACTGTGTCCTTCTCTCTTTGGCTGACTTATTCTTGGTATATTGCACACCACAGCATCCTCAGCAGGGTAGGGAGGATTAAAAAGAGGAAGGAAAACCTATAACTGTAATATTTTTTCACAGAATTTTGGAGGAAGGTAAGCCAAGCTTAATGAAGGTTTCTTTTTGTAAATCTTGTATCCATTCTATCTATGCCTGACTCATATGATGAATTATTCAACAAATTTGTGTTGAGTGCCTACTATGTGTCAAGCATTGTTTAAGAGTTTAGGTCCTCAAAAAATTAAGACTAGAACCACCATATGATCCAGCTATTCCATGTATGGGTATTTATCCAAAGAACACGAAAACACTAATTTGAAAATTCACTCCGATGTTTACTGCAGCATTATTCACAATAGCCAAGACTTGGAAACAACCTAAGTGCCCATCAACAGATGAATGGATAAAGAAGATGTGGTATATATACACAATGGAATACTATTCAGCCGTAAAAAAGATGAAATTTTGCCATTGGTGACAATAAGGATGGACCTTGAGGGTGTTATGCTAAGTGAAATAAGTCAGACAGAGAAAGCCAAATACCATATGATTTCACGTATAAGTGGAAGATAAAAACAACGACAAGAAACAAACACATAGACATAGAGATTAGATTGGTGGTCATTAGAGGGGAAGGGGGAGAGGAGAGGGCAAAAGGAGTAAAGGGCACATGTGCATGGTGATGGATGGTAACTAGTCTTTGGGTGGTGAACATGATGTAGTCTACACAGAAATTGAAATATAATGATGTACACCTGAAATTAGTGTTATAAGCCAATGTTACCTCAATAAAAAATAAATTAAAAAAAAGAAAAGAAAAACCAATTGGGGGACAAAAAAAGGGCTTGGGATACATCAGTGAACAAAAGAAAGAAAGCCCTTAGAGAGCATTGGCTCTACAGGTGAACTTTACAATCATTTCCCCTTTCTGCATCTTAGTCCTGCATTTGTGCATGGACAGGAAACATATAATGGAAAGCTTGCAGATTCTTAGATGCAACACACAGGTAAAAACATGGATATATTGTTCACAAGTGCTGCCACTTCTCTCTAGAACCAAGGACGGTTATGAGGAGGAGGTCACTGATTAAATCTTCTCTTTGACCTTGTTCTCGGCAATCCACACCAATAGGCATTGTCTTCTATTTAAAAGGGGAGTTTTAGGGCTAGTTGGGTGGCATAGTAGTTAAGTTCGAATGCTCTGCTTCAGTAGCGGCCTGGGGTTTGCAGGATCAAATCCCAGGTGTGGACCGATGCACCACTCATCAAGCCATGTGGTGGTGGGGTCCCACATACAAAATAGAGGAAGATTGGCACAGATGTTAGCTCAGGGCCAATCTTCCTCACCAAAAGAAAAAAAAAAAGGGAGTTTTAGGGGCCGGCGCAGTGGCGTAGTGGTTAAGTTCATGCACTCTGCTTTGGCAGCCTGGGGTTCACAGGTTCGGATCCTGGGCGTGGACCTACGCACCTCTTATCAAGCTATGCTGTCGAAGGCGTCCCACATACGAAGTATATAAAGTAGAGGAAGGTGGGCATGGATGTTAGCCCAGGGCCAATCTTTCTCAGCAAAAAAGAGGAGGACTGGCAACAGCTGTTAGCTCAGGGCTAAGAAAAAAAAGGGGAGCTTTATAGATACTTGCAGCATTGAGAGGTTGCCCCTTGCTTCTTAGCTGCAGATCTCCCTCTGGGACAGTGAGCCCCGCCCATATGCACCACCTTGGTGCTTCCCTTCTCTAGTTTGCTGGGGACTTTGCTGCCCTTAGAGGCTCCACCTGCCCACAGCATCTCAGCTGTAGAGGCTGGTCTGGGCACAGGGACAATTTCCTCGAGAAAGGGAGTTCGCATTTGAAAGGGACTAACGGAAGCTTTTATGTCTCCCTCCACCAATTTCAGCCTCTATTGAAGCGGAAGCTAGACGGGAAACAAAGGCCACACTGATTTTCTTCAGAGAGAACACATTACCATGTAAAAAATGCTAATTGCTCTGTGGGAAATGTTTTTATTTTGCAAATACTCTGTGGTTCTGAAGTGACAGCACGATTACATGTCTGACAGTATCACTGGTACAATCTCCAGGCTCCTCAGGGAGAGCAATGTTTTTCCTCCCAGAAAGAAAGCCAAAGTCTCTGGTCCCAAAGGTCCACTTGATTTAAACACGATTCAAAAGAAGTAAAAACAGATGATAATAGCAAATAATGAAAGCTTGGCAATTTAACCAAAACAAACGATCTTATCCAGAACATTATGGGAGTGTGAAAGAGAACTGCAGAAATAACTCTGTAACTTGGTTTTTACCACTTTCCAATGGCTCGCTCTCATCTCCAAATGGAGAAATGTGAGAGGAACTGGGAGAAAAGAAACCAGAAGAGTGTAGGAAAACGTCAACATGAGAAAGAAATATAATAAGAGAGTGGAGGAAGGGGACAGCTTCAGGGTCGCTCTCTCGGAGACCCTCCTGCCTGTTATGATCTGGATAGACCCGGGCCGGCCTCGTGTTCCGTGAAGGCTGTGCCACAGCGGCTGGTGACCTGTCTCTGGCCATCGAGCACCTAGAAGGCGCTTTCGCAGGAGCAGGGCGGCGGCCGGGGGCGCGGCGGGGGTGGGCGCAAGCAGCCGTGCTCTGGCTGCTCCCGCCGAGCGTGGTGATAATGGGGGTGGGGCCAGCGGTAGCGGTGGAGCGCTTGGTGGCCCAGGGCCCCCTCGTCGTCCTCCGCGACACCCTCCCGCGCGCACCACACTGCGCCCAGGCGCCTTCGCAGCCGCCGCCGGAGCTGGCAGTCGCCCGCCTGGAAGAAGAGGTAGACGAAGGGATTGAGAGCGCTGGTGGCCACCCCCACGAGGCGCAGCGCCACCGCCAGGTCCTCGGCCTCCCAGTCTCCCACCGGTCCGGGCAACCACGCGGCCGCCAGCCGTGCAGCGAAGTAGGGCAGCTCGCAACCCACGAACAGCAGCGCCAGCACCAGGCTCATCTTCAGACTCTGTACCTTGGCGCGGGGCAGCGCGCTGGGCGCGGGGGCTCGGCCGGGACTCGCCGGCCAGGGTGCCGCGGCCGATGGGGCCTGGGGCGGGCGCTGCCACCAGGCGCAGAGCAGGCGGCTGCCAGCGACGCCCATGACCGTGACCGGCGCCACGAAGCCCGCGACGGCCTCGTAGAGCACGTAGACCTGCAGGTGCCAGCGCGGCAGGAGCGCGAAGATGTCGCGGC